TTTTTTTTTTTTTTTTTTTTTTTTTTTTTTTTTTTTTTTTTTTTTTTGAGTTTTAGGTTTGGAAGTTGAAAGTGAAATTGTATAATTGAATAAGTTTTTCTACTTGATAAATTAAAATGAATGTGTTAATGAACAGCTATCACACCATTAAACTATTCGAGAGCTGAAAGCCAAACAAAACCTGACAATTTACATTAAAAAAAAAAATTAAACGTTGAAGTTTTTCTTGACAGCATCTTCGGATTGGGGAAAATATCATAATTCCATTACATAATAAAAAAATGTAAAATGCATATTATATTTTGTGCTTGGCATTCGTGAGACGTAGTTCATTCAGTAGAAAAGTATTAAAGTCTGATTTTGTTCAGATACAAGTTTGCATTAAAGTTGGAATATAAAACTTCCAATTTAAAGTTTCAAATTTTACTTCTTTTTTTTTTTTTAAACTGTCATATTTCTATTAAAAGTGAAAATCAAAGTTTTACACAAAAGTTAATGCAAACCAAACAAGTAACAGAATCCACACCACTACCAACATAAACACAAGAACATAGTAACGAGCCACCAGAAAACAAAACATAGAAAATAAGTAGGCAAGGCAACACCAGAAAGGATGTCAACAGCACAAACCCCACAAAGAAGCTTATCAAAAGCTTGGCTTTTGCTCCGCTCTTCAAACAGTGAAGAAGAGAGACAAGAGATGGGGCCACAAGTCTCACAGCTGCAAATCCAGAATAGATCCTTCAGCAATCTGCCTGAACTAGCTACCTCTTGCCATGGAACACCAACTGAGAAACAGATCTGAGTTTGATGATGATTCTGGTGGTGCTTGGAGAAGTAGCATCGCCTAAGAGAAGAGTCGGTACCATTAAGTGGGAAGAAAACCCCTTCCACAGCCTTACTCCCCTCCACCAGCCTCCACCAGCCTACACCATACTACCATCTCTGAACATGCACCAACCCATCCACCAACACTTCTTTCTCTTAATAAGGAAACAACAAAACAGACACAAGCAACAATCTTAACCTAATGCTGAAAATAACATAATTTGGGTCAAAATATAATAGCAAGAGCTTCGCACCAAGAGTAACCATCTTATCAACTCCCTAATGGCTTCCATCATTAGAGAAACATTTAACAGCAAAACATATTTTTGTGGTTTTCCGAGTGAAAACAGTTAAAAACAAACTAAGATAGAGAGGATCCAGGAGGTGGCTGAGTAAGGGAATCCATCCCTTTCCAAGACAAAGCATAGATTTCCTTGGTTGTAAACCAAGAATGGGACCTCTTTCTCACCACCGTGAGCTTCCTCAAAGAGTCACAGCAAATAGTAGACAAACTTCTAAGAATAAGTAAAACAAAAGAAAACATATTATGGAAACAAAAAGTAGAGGGATCTAAGGTGTGCATCGTGTTTTCCTCATTTAGCCACAGGGGAGATCCCAACCCTTAATGCTATTTTTAGCATGGTCCTTATGGCTCCTTGGTGGTTGTTATGGGACAACCACAAAAGCCTCAACAAACAGTTGTGAATAAACCAAGCTAACCATACCAATAAAACTCATAAATCTAAGCTTGCTGAGTAAAGGACTCCATCCCTTTCCAAGACCAGCATAGATTTCCTTAGTTGTAAACCAAGAAAGGGACCTCTTTCTCACCGCCATGAGCTTCCTCAAAGAGTCACAGCAAATAGTAGACAAATTTCTAAGAATAAGTAAAACACAACAAAACACATTATGGAAATAAAAAGTAGAGGGATGTAAGGTGTGCATCATGTTTTCCTCATTTAGCCACAAGGGAGATCCCAACCCTGAATGCTATTTTTAGCTTGGTCGTCATGGCTCCTTGGTGGTTGTTATGGGACAACCACAAAACGCCTCAAGAAACAGTTGTGAATAAACCAAGCTAACCATGCCAATAAAACCCATAAATCCACCTACAATCATACTTGTAGCTTTAGCCACAATAACCTGAACATACTGAACCAATGGCTCAATATTCAAATATTGATCTGCACTCACAAATCATGGCCAAAAAATACTCATCAACAACAAAGCCCATAACTATTTCCATTGTTAAATTCGACTCACAGATAGCAATTGGTCCATGCAAATCCATAAACAGATAAATAAAATTGAATTCCGAATTTGCCTAGTTTCCTTGCCATTAACCAATCCTAACTCATTCCTAGGTATTCCTTTGAAGAATTTATTAAAATTCTTCAAATCTTTTGCTTTTCTAAAAATTTTCCTCGCCGTTAAAATCTCATCGTTGAGAGCAATTCCTTTGCATATCTAATTTTTACCCTAAACAAAATGTTAAACGTTTTGCTTAAAATTTGATGTCTAGAAACTACCGCAAGAGTGTTACAAATTACAATCTTAAACGTTTTTCAGTTTTCACAAACAGCATAGTCATGAGATCCTATTATTTCTGTCATTTCGTTTTGCTAGTTTAATCTATGATTGCTCTCGAGGGTTGGTTTCTCATAATTTACTTTTGCACAATACCTTATTAAAAATGTAAATTTATTATAATTAAATTAATTTTAATTATTTTTTAATAATTTATTAATCATATTGATGCATAACTTTTTTTCCCATGATAATTATTAAACAATAATGCTCTTGTTGTTTGATTACTTAATATAATTGAGATTCAGAAGTGCGAAAAAATAATCCTTGTGTCTGAAAATAACCATTTCTTCTTCTTCGATAAAAAGAAGAACGACGGAACTCAAAGAGGATGAAGAGTTGAAATTTAGAATGTTTTTTATTATGAATTTGACTTTAGTTAATTCACATATTTATGGACTTGCAGACGGTGATTATTAATATCAAAACAGACAGGGCCGATAAAATTGGGTTTCAGCCTTCAACTTACAAACAACTAACTCGGGTTGGGTAGAAGAAGGCCTGGTCCATATAGGGAAATCAATTGTGCCTGTCTTCTCTTTCTCCAAAATTTTCTCCATCATATATAATTCAAAGGATATAGTATATTTTTATTAAATGGCACTAAAACAATATACTACTTCAGGTTTATTTTACTCCCTCACTTGATTTTTAAGTCCTAATTTGATTTTTTTTAATTCTTTAAATATAAATTTCATATGAAAATTAAACAACTTTTATGAATAATAGTCGAAGCAGGAGTACTTGTCACTATATGTGTATTTTTAGTTATGTTTTTTATAGTGCATAAATCATATTTTAATTTTTTT